CACCCCCTTTGCCACCCTGGGTCATTGTGTGGGTCTCCAACATATTTGGCTGGCTTGGCTTTTAAGTAAAAGTTTGCTCCAAACTCCTGGCAGTGATTCAGGAACACGATCTATGGAAGACAGTGACGTTCCCCCAGGGGGAAGGGGCTGTACCTGAGTGCGTAAAAGTTCCTCTTGAAGCTGATCAATCTTTTCTTTGTCGGAAACCTGCAATGACAAAAGCCATTGGGATAAACTTCTTGAGCCAACGGCATGTTCAAGATCCAGCCAGACTTACAAACCATGCTTTGTATGGACCACTCGTTTTGCAAGAGCCACCCAAGCAAGGCATCCCATCAAAAGGAGGGGAAAGCAGGGAAATGGAGAGCAAATGGCAGCCTCTTTCACAACAGTCTTCCAAGCGAAGATTAGGTGTAGTCAAAGGTAAATACACACGCTGGGAGTTTTCAAGGCCCAAAAGGTGCAACCGCCAATTCACGCTCCACAGAGGTCAACTGGTAAAGTCTCCTCATGAACGATGTTTTTTAAAAAAGAAAAAGGAGTGGCTGCTTCACATACGGAGCCATCACTCCAGGCGCTGCGACACAGCGTGTGACCCACTCTTCCCTCGAGCGGGTCTTGTGAACACTGCCTGTAAGAGGAAGGGGAGAAGCAGCACCTGGCTGAAGAAACCCAAGCCAGCAAGATTAAAAACAAGCCTTCTGACTGCCGCCGCCACCATTTCTTGCCTTCTGGCCTTACTGAAAGCAAGCAGGCCTTTTACTGAGATGGCTCCAGTGGCTGGTATGTACATCACGCACGCCAATTCAACTCTACCCATCCCAAGGAACTCCCAGCTCTCCTCTTTTAAAAACATCTGAAAGGTTTATTCCCAAGAAAGGAGGGAGAAAGGCGGCCTCCTTTCTTCTTCCTCCAAAAGAAGGCAGCTGGCGGCACTGCTGCTCCCTGCCACAGGAGCTGCTTTTTGGGCACCAGGGACCTCTCCCAACGGGGCCACCGGCCAGGCACAAGCTGCCTGGGAGGCCTTGAGCCGGAAGGAAGGGCTGTGATGGGGCTCACGAGACACAGGCCTGCAGGCGAGCGGCATGACGGCCGCGCCACTCAAAGAAGAGACCAGCCAGCAGCTCAGGCGGGGCTGTCAATGCCTCCCCAAGAGCGCAGATGGGAAAAGAGAAGCGCTACTCGGCCACCTCACCCCTCGGCCAACCCAGGAGGGTGCCGGGCGTTAGCTAAGCCACTCTCGGGTGGGGAGGCAACGCTTTCCCCCTTTGCAAACGAAACACCAAACTACTCTTTCTCGAGGCCACCTCTCTGGGACACCACAAGCCTATGCAGCCTGTCCTGGGCAGGTTGTCGCCTTTCCCATAAAACACTTCGGAGGGGATACTTTGAGTGCTCCTCTCCTGATGCACGTGTTCTCAATACTTCAGGGTATTAAAGCAATGGCCCAAAAAGGAAGGCTGAAGGTGACTCCTCGGAGAATGGTCCGCTCTGTTTCTAGATGCCCAGATGCCCTGCAGAACACTTAACTAATTGGGTATTTACAATGGAGAGGAAGGAGGCAGCGACAGATATGCCCATCTGCCCTACCATCAAGCCGCGTACGTGGGCAGGGAGGAAGGAGAGGCGCAGACCACAGCACACTTTTCAGAAAGGGCATGGCCCCCCTGAAGCCCTATGGAGGCACCTGCCCCACAGCTCAAGGCTGCTGAGCGGACGAATGCCTTTGGAGTACAGTCAAACATTTCTCCTGTGTCAACAGCATGGGCAGAGTGGCCACAATCCACAGGCCTGCAGGGCTTTCATTCTTATGCAACCTTTCAGAAAGGTAGGGAGGGCCGCCTCCACAGCCAAGGCAAGAAGGGTCTTGTGCTCCCACATGCCGAGAGTGCCCCATGCGAGTCTGTCCCCAATGTGGACAGAAAGGCAGCAGCATCACTATCTCTACATGGGAAATAAGTGGCAGTCCGAACAGCATCTGTTCTGTGGCAGGGAACAGAAACAGAGAGACAAGACATTCCCCCCACCCCCCAAAGCCTTCCGCCCATTTGAACCGTGAGGTTACTACAGCAGAAGAGACAGCGCTTCCACACCATCCTGGCTCCACAGAGGAGGAAACAAACCCTACACCCCTCTTGGCCCATTCACAACTTCGGCTCTCCTCCCACCTATTCCAAGGGTTGGAAAAAAGATTCGCCAGTGCCAGCAGGACCCGGCAGAAAAAGCTATTCCAAGTTTCCCCCCCGCCCCTCAAGCCAAGCAGCGCTAAAGGCTCCCCCAGGATGGCTCTTCCGCCCTCAAATGCCCTTCCTTCCTGGCCCGGCTCCGAGCACCCTCACTGCACCCTCCTCCAACTTCCAGCTTCTGTTCCAAGACTTCCAAAGCCTCAGGCAACGCCTCGCCCATGCCACCCTCGCCCACGCCACACAGCCGCCTCTAATCCCGAAGCACCCAAACAAGCTCTGCAGAAGGCAGCCCAGCCTGGCGCCTGCTCAGAGCGGGGCTGAAGGCGCGTCAGGTGTCGCTGATGCCTCGGGGGGGGGGGGCCTCCCTGCCCCGCCCTGCCTTATTCCAAGGGAGGGATGGAGCCAGGGTTAGCCCTTTCCCCAACATCCTTTCCAGCCCAAAGCTGCTGTAGCGAAGCCGTCAGAATCAGGGCTGACTGAAGACCACCCCAAGGGCCTGAAACCCCTCCCTCCACAAGGCTGATGGGACACCATTCAGTCCCTCGACAGGCAGCTGCCGGACGGTCCTGGGCTCATCTTCTCTGGGCCCGCTGCCGGTCTGGCCCAGGTCCCCTCACGGGATTTGCTCAAGGGTGGAAGGTGGTCCCGAGTGAACGGCCTCTCCGGAGAAGTGGGGCGCCTTGGAGGGCCACTGCCGGAGGCTGAGGTCACCCGGCCAGGAAAACGGGGTCTGCCAACCCGCTTGCAGGCAGAGGCCTTCGAAAGCAGTCACTCTTGGTTCTTTCCCCTCCTTTGCGCCTCCGCGCCGTTCTCTTGTGACAACTGGGCTCTGCCGATGGTTCCGACATTTTATTCATTTTTCTGTTTATGTAAACTGCCCAGAGAAGTGCAATGGGGGTGGTATATATAAGTCCAAAAAATAAATAAATTAATAGTCACACAGAGAAATCAGACAGACAGACTGCATTGAGAAGCTGCTCTGAAAACTCTTCAAAATTCAGATCCCTACAGGTGCAGGAAAGGCCGGACGGTCTGCCTCGTGTCCAGCAAGAGCTGGCTAGGTAGGCTTCCCAAAGACCCCCTCCCCCTGGCTTCCCATCTCCCAAATGCCAGCTATTGAAACACTCACTGCTTTTCTTTGAATCTTTAACCACTATCAGTACACCTGCTAAAGTAATATCCAGGAGAATTTTTTCTGCACAAGGAACATAATTTGTGTGATTAGAAGGAAGCCAAAGAAATCATCATGCAAGAAGAAAAAGCTCTAAGAAATCAGGATATCTCTCTCTCTCTCTCGATCTTAGCCAAAAGGCCAAAAAGCAATGAGTACATTTTTGGTTCTCTTGTGAGGAGTGAATCTGCAAGACCACCGCAAGCTTCCACAATCAAGGTCCTATTAGAGATTCGTTAATGGTGATCAAATCAGAGTGTTTGATTAGACTGGAGCAGGGCAGAGGAGGAGGAGGAGGAGGACACAGCAACCCGTTCTTATTTGGGGGGAGGGGTTTTTTCAAGCCATCACCTTTTCTCTCTTCTGGGAGGAGCCTGGGCCAGACGGGTCAGTGGCTCGGCGCGCCGCCTCCTCCTCCGCTTCGTGCTGCTCAATTTGCTGCTGCAAGAGAATGAGCTCTCCAAGAAGACCCTGCCGTGTGTTTCCAACGGGGAGGAGAAGGGAAAAAATACGGAGGTGAGGGGAGCAGTC